AATCAAGTATAAAGTGACTTAGCCATGGTATGACATCTGAAGCTGGAGTAAAAAAAGTCACTTTTCAGTGAGTTACTAAGTACCATGTACAGATTCAACTGAATGCATCATCACAGTCACAGTATCAACAGGTGAGGGAACAAAAGAAAACTGGTAGTGCTGGTGCAAAGATACACCAGTGGCTCCTCTGCCTTTCCAGATTCTGCTTGCCCCTTCCTATAAAAACCCTACATCAAGCTGAATACCTCTCTGTTTAACTGGAGTAAATCACATAAGTGTTTCATGACAAAAGCGACAGTTTAATTCATAAACATTAAAGTTCATATCACCTGATTACAAGGGTCAACTGTAATTCAGGCTTTTTTGCCCTAGAAGAAATACTATAGAACCATTGCGCACAGCAATTTGTTTACTCTCCTGGATTTGAAAGTTAGCTGGCCAATGCTGTTTTGTTTTGGTCCCTACTAACTAATTCAGTTGAACTATTCTGTCTCAGAATTGGCATGTGGGAAACTAGGAAGTAATGAGGGTATGACAACTGCATGTCCTGTGTTTCTGCAGTCAACACTTTCCCAGCAACTGTCCATGAATGGTAATTAACTTTATGGCCAGTCCCCATTACTCATTAAAAACTTCCTAGAGACAACTAATGCAAGGGAGCCACTGAAGGACTCTATCTTCATTCAACCTGTTTACAAGCAGTAACTTCATAACTTGACCTCTATCTGTCCTCCAAAACACACTAACAGAATATGAATAAAAACTGGTATTTGAGTTTAAAGCTATTTTCATTGGCAAACTAACAAGAAAACTTAATTGCAAACATAAGACCATGACAAAGAAGAGAGCTCCCTGTCATCAGCTAAAAACCATTACCTGACGTGTTAATCTCTAGTGTGAAATATAAAGAGTGGTCCTGCTGATTTCAGTGAAGCCATGTATGCAAAGGAAAGGAGAGTTTGCCCCCTTTTCCCCCTACTCAAAAGTATTTACTGACACCAATGATGGTGGAAAAGCATAGAACACTATCTCTGAAACCCATGCTAGCAGCCAACAGCTTCACAGATCATAAAATGCACCACAGCAATATCAACCATATGCATAAAGTATTAACTGCTATTAAAATGTCTGAGACTTTAGCCTCTGTCCTAAAATTGTGGGGACCAGCTCTAAAGCAAAGCATTATTTTGAACCACAAAATCTGTAAGGTACAGTCAGGCATATTCCAGGTATTATGTAAACTCATAAAACAGAGAAATTCAAAGTCAAGACTGGAATTCTTTCCTGAGTTAACCCAGAGACAGCCAACTGTTATAGGCAGATGCTCAAAGGTTAAGGAGGTAAGGAGTGAAGGAAAAAAGTTCTCCTTACACTCACCTCAAGAAAAGGATTGAAAAATATGCTGAAAGATCAGGGGAACTGGTATACAAACAGAGCAAACAACCTGACAATCGGCAGAAGAGAATTCACACTGCATCATCCTAGATGTAGCATACCACAGAGCTACACAAATGAACAGGAACTAGCGCTGCTCCTCGTAACCTCAAAAACTCCCATTGCAGTGAATCCAGTAAGACGCCTGGAAGCATATACTGCCTTTAGGAAAAAGCTATGCATGATTATTATATAGTGAAATTTCCACCATCACAATTTGGCACACTGTAACTCACAAATTTAATGGTCTCCTGAATCTGAAAGTGTATCCTAAAACTGAAATATTTTAAGTAGCTTGAGACATTGCCTCTCATTTCTTTATTCAAAGTATCTATTTCTTCACTTAAATTCTCTAAAATTGTCCTTGTACAAGAAATGGCGGAAAGTGTAGTATCAAGAACAATGCACATGTTGCATTAGAAGGTTCACTGTCTATTCGCCAACATGTAGTTTTATTTTTTCAGCTCAAAGAGCTAAAGCATCTCTTTGAATTCTTGCCCAACTTAATGTGCTGAACAATACAGGGAAACCTGACCCATAGCCACAATGCTTTTGCTAGAAAAATCCTGTCCATAAGAGACTAAACAGTTTAATTAGGTCCAGTACTTAACAATCATATCAAAACAACTACTACCAAAGAGCTCCTTTTAAGGTCAATTTGGCTACTTGTCAGTAAATACACTCCCAGAAAGGCAGAACCTTCCAGCCCCTTTAGTACTTCAGTTCTGATGACTGAATCATTCAACACCTCCCCAATTATTTAACTTCAAGTTCCTAAGTGAGAAAGGCTTCAGGTACTTGAATGAACAAAATTCTTTGCAGGATTAGGACATGATCTATGATCAAAAGCAACAAACTGTTTGAAATAAACATACAGAAGGAACGGATGAGGAAATATGGGAGAAAAGGCAATGAACGCAGACCAACATTAAAGCTAGATGGTCGAAAGAGGTAACTTTCTAAAGGTTAAAACAAGACATTATGATAGAATTCCAAAGCAGAAAGAACATGAAGATTTACCAAGTCACTTTAAAAAAAACCCAATTGTCTTGACAGCTACATCAGAGCCCAAAGGAGAGCAGTAATTTTCTGGCCTTTGAGCTGAGAGCTCGATTGTTTCTCTTGTCATGTCTCACCATCACACATCAGTCAAAAATGTGAGCAAGAGAAAAAGGCAAGTAATTTTCTGAGATTTCCCTTTGGTTTAGAATTTATTTCCTCTGGGTCACTAAATCCCATGTTGGAAAGCCTGCTCTACCCCTTTTTTACCAGTCATTTCAAATAAAAACTGCTACAAGAAGTGCTAGAAAGCATTATTATACAAAGTAGGTTCAATGTTAATTAAGGATTTTTTCTATGTTTTTCCGACCACAGTTGCACATGTGTTTGTTAGAATAAGATCAACGAACTAGTCATGGCATCTTCACATGAATAGTACATCAAATAGGAATATCCGAAGCACTGAACTTTTTTCCTTTTGATAATGAAAGAGTCGAGCAGAGTATTCAACTTAGCTTTTCCTGGTATTTAGATCTAGCTTCACTACTGAGTTCTAAAATCCCCTTCATATATCAATACATCTTTCTTGTGCGGGTATTTTCCACTGCCACCTTCCAAAGATCTTTTTTTCCCCCCTTTCAAAATTACCACTTAAAATCTGTATGATCATAATCATCATGACTGCATTCTCAGAGCATTACAGCCACAGTGAGTAACATTTTTAAATGTAGACGCTATTTTAAATTAGTAATTTCTTAGAGTGGATATTACCAGACTCCTACAATAATCTGTAATATTAATGCATGCAGTCTGAATCTTATTATTAGAAATAGGGTTTTGTTTTCTGAGACACTTATAAGTTATGCTCACATTCGTGACACACTGATGGAACAGTCAATTACACTATCAATTCAGAGGACTGGTAATAACACATGAAGACATCTTTTAACTACTGCCTTAATTAAGTGTTGACCTCTTTTTTTGTAACTAAAAGGGAGTCCCAACAAAAATTCTGAAACAAAAAGAAAGCAGAAGGCAGAAAGCCAAGATCACCTACACACCTTCATTACTTCCAATTGTTTGTGGTTTAGAAACTGGTTTAAGAAAGAAACTGTACTGTGCAGTGTGATCATCACAACAATGATTATATAGTTTAACAATGTTTGAAAAAAAAAACATGTGTGTGGAAAAGGCAGGTTTTGCACATTATTAACTTTCGAGTTTAATTTAAAATGCAGTATATCTCCAAAGGCTGTGCTATAAATCATGGATTAAATACCTGCAGATTTCCTTAGTCTGAAAATAAAGGAGTGCGTGTGGTAACAATTTGTAAGGGGGAATAAAAAGGTATGATTTCAATGTAGTGACAGAAAACAGGGTCCTTAAAGAACAGTGGCGGGAAGTGAGAATTTAAAAAGGAACAATAAAGGCCACAAGAGGTTTGATGAGGGATTGGGAGAAGACCCAGTGAGCTAGTCAGCCAGCTACATGCAGCTTTTAAACCCTCTGCCCAATGCGATCTGCCAAAGACGCATCCCAAGAATAATAATGTATTTATCACCCCAGGGATATTAGAAATTGACTTTCTTTGTAGCTAGCCTTTAGAGAAGTATATAGAGTATAAATTCAATTATTGCACTGTTTTATTTGAATAATCTAAAAATTAAATTATTATTAAAACTTTTTACTTTTAAATCACTAGATACATTTTCAAGGTTTATTTAATTTAGTCTCAGCTGATTATTTAATAACAAGTGCAACAGAATGCATCCTTTTACTACACACTTTGGGCTGCAAGATTTTAAGTAAGTATTTACAAATTTATTACCTAATGGCCTAAGTGTGCAGGTTTTCATTTCTACTGTAGATTTATTTACCTCAATTATTGCACACTGGTACTTGCAGTCAAAGCTTTGCTAGTATTTAGCTATTTAGTATACTGTTCAGCTATCTAGCTTCATGCTCCTCTGCTCCCATAACCATAATCATAATTCATCTTTCCAAAAACAGATCTGTACAATGTGAGAAACAATAAACTGAATGTCAAGGGAAAAAAAAAAAAAAAGAAAAAAAAAAAAAGGAAAACCAGACCTGACAAATCAACACAAGTACAAAAGTAATTTCAAAATGTAGCTTTAAATTGCAAAGTTAAAGCCAACACAACAGATTTCATGTTTTGGGGTTAATAGAACATGAACCTGATCTCGTTTAACTGAAATCAAAGAAAATTCTGTGGTACATTTAACTAAAATCAGCAAAAAAATCTGTAGTACAGTTTATAAGAAGCATGATCAAGTGTTCTGGTCTCCTTTTTTTTTCCTAAAATTAAAGAACGCTTTCCCCAGCTCATTGTTACCCACACGTTTTGGTGTACAGTACAGACAAACGACTCAAGCAAAAGATGCAGCATAAGGATTAAAATGTACCCTTTGCTTATGTATGATGGCACCAGACACGCTATTGGAAATCTGTAACCCACGACTGCATCTAACTAAAGATTTATGTTATAAAGGTATATATACAAATGACTAAGCAGAACACTCAGCATAAGGATTAAGACTTCTTACCCCATATTTACATTGGCGGGATGTTGCTCCATACTGGAAGCGACACTGTTCATCAGCATCATACACCTGACCTGGGGCCACAGCTGGATAAAGAAAGTCACGCTTGGGAGGCTCATTATCAAGGCAAGTACCACGGCCCGAACTGTTCAACATAAAGGACCAAATCAATTAGGAATTCTACTGACTGTAAATCACAGCAATGATATCATGTATCTAGTTCTTACTTTTAACAGCGCTGGGTGTGAAACAAATATGATTGCAATAAACAAACAGTAAGATGGTACACCCATAGTAAAAAGAAAAAAATAATTAGAGGGAATTAAGAGATTAAAATAATTTTTCATCATTATTATTAACAAAAATGCGTATTTTAGATTGTGAAGTAGATTTAATATATTATCCTTTTTTAAAGTGCGATAATTTCTGAGCCACACAAGACTGATTTTCATTTTAAGATTCCTATTTGTTTTCAGTGAAGAATAGCTACATTTGGTCATAGAATGACAAATAAACAAATTAAGCAAATAAAAGAAATTCAGTTTACCATTCTTAATGACCCATTTGATCATTCAGAAAGCTAAGTACAATCTTATAGATAGGTATGAGCAGCTTAATTGGTTTACATAAAACACATTCAAAATTCAAGACGACTACATGTTTATAGGATAAGGAACTTAATATGCACGCTTTTCTTCCATTTGAGTGAACAAAATAGTGACAGTGGTAAAAGTTTTGGAGGGTCTTCAAATTTACCTATATTAGAGTGAGTAAAAAAAATTGTATGGATTCAAGATTTTTTCTATTTTATTAATAATACTTAGCCTTAAAAAATTCATGTTAGAACTAAGGTAACCACATCTGAAAACTAATATTTTCTTCTTTCATATTCACTGTTTTGTTTGGCGGTTGGTGGGGTTTCTTCCAAAATATGGAATACCCCAATATTTTAGTGTGGTGGAATAAATAACAAAGAAAGCCAAATTCAGACAGAATTTTGTTTAGAAAACTTTTTACTTCGCTAAATATAATTACTCAGTTTTGTTTAGTCAGTGTGTCTAAGAAAGGATAAATGCTTTTTTACTTTCATTTCGCATGTGAATAAGTGAGGATTTTTAAAGAATTCTTATGCCAACATTTCAAATTTTTTTCCAACATTCCTACAAATTTTGCCAGCACTTATGGGTTTTTTTCCATATCTTTTCCATGTACTTTGCCAAAGGAACGTAATTTCAGAAATGAACGTTCTACATATTTTTTTGGAGATCTCAAATTTTCTATATTTTTCACCTGCAGATTAAAAAAAAAAAAGAGCAAGAAGCCTCCTTTAACTACACATTTTATGTTCTCATTTTAACCCTACTGTATTTAAATCTGTGAAATACTGCAATAAACCCCTTCAAAAAAACCAAGAAGCAAACAACTGCCGACTGTTTCAGAAGGCGGCAAACGGCAACTAAGGCTACAACTAGATAAATACAGAAAAATGTAACATATTCAGTTACTAATCCCAATGAATTTAGTGTGATTTACCTGCACATACACACTCACCCCTCCTTAGCCGAAATCTACCTTTAAAATATCAACTGTGTGGTTCTGGCATAAAGAATAATGTACTTGCCTTTTTGTTCTAGTTTTAACTATTGCAAACATATATATTTTCTAATAGCAGAGGTTGGGAAACTATCCTACATTCTTTTGAAATATTCCAGTGTTGTATTTTGCATGTATGAGGAGCACATGTTAATAATTCCAATATGAAAATAACTCAAACACAATATGATTTTTCTGTATTGTCTGGACCAAACTGCAGATAGGAAACTTTGCTTAAACAAGCAGTGGGAACTCTAGAATTTGACATCAGTTTAAGCTAGTCTTGTATATGATGGGAGCATTTCCATAGATTCTAAAAGTGCATAGTGTGGTCTGTAAACTGTGAATTTGCAAGCAGAGAGCCAAGGGCACAGCATTTTAAAACCCTCATTACTTTTGGTGACTCTCCCCATAGGCATATGTACCCCTGCACAGATTAGATTACAGAATCAGATCTAAACCTTTAAATTCACCAAACTTGTAAATTAAAGTCTACACCTGCTCAACAAGACATATAATTGCAGAAATGTCAGTCAAAATCCTTGCAGTAAATTCAAAAATATGCCTCTTCATCTTTAATGAGAGGATTTTCACCATAATGAAGTATTGTCGTAGTAGTAAAAAAAGCAAGAAAATTACTACTAAGCAGTCATTCTGTTACCAGCTACATTACGCCACCACCTCTCAGATTGAAAATTTCTCTCTTTCCTTCTGCTTCAGTTCTAGAATTTCTCTCAAGTAGTTGAACAAAACTGACACATTTTACAAACTCAGTGTGAGAACCTGATACCGTAATTGTGTGAACTGAAGTTTTTTGGAAAAGAAATAGCACGTGTTATAAAACACATCAATAAAACCAGGGACTTTCTATTTGTAATGAAAGGTCTCACCAAAGCTGTGCAAAGGATGAATACAGGCTGAGGACCATATAACCTTTCCAGACTTCTACTGGACTCAGGAACGCTGTAATACTCTTGAGTCTATGTTCTTGTTCTTCTCCCTTTCTCCTTGCTCCACCAAAGCAAAACCCAGATACTTAAGAAAAAAAATCTGCGAAATCTAGGGGAATGAACTAGAAGGGTGCAAGAATAATAATGGTGTCAGAGCACTTTATAAACAGAGATCTAACAGTTATTATCAATCAGGCCTACAAAAGTGAAAAAAAGCCCGTTGTGATGATGTAAAAAAGACAACAGGAAGGAAAAGAATGTCCAAATACCTTAATCTCTGCAATTTTAGAAAATTTCTACTCACAATCTCTTTCGTGCTTTGTGATTTTATCCTATACAGGAAGCATAAACAAAGTCAAAAAACTTACAGGTTATCCCTGCAGAGCATTTACGTTTTTGAACAGTGAGTGGACAAATCTTTAGTGTCTGCAATAGAAATAAGACGATCTCAAACTCATCCTTACATTCTATTTACTCCACAAGATACCACTAGTACTCAAAGACTCTCATTTTCCTAATTTTAGGTTAATTTAATGAAGTTTTATGGGACATAGTGGGACTGCTTTCAATTATAAGATAGCTAAGCTTGATGTCATTTCACCCCAGTATTCCAGTGTAGTGTCTCAAGAAATCTTGAGAGGTAAAACTCGACTATAATTTGAACATTGCTTTGTATTTTAATGTCATAGGATAGCAAATTAATCTTCCCTTTGGAAGGACATCAAGGATACCAGAGCATTCTCTGAAAGCTTAAGATCTCAGACATGCTATCATTGCTAACTGCTTGATCAAAATAAGAGCAATCAGGGATTCAATGTTAGAATCTTTACAGAATGAACAATGCAAAATTGAGGATCATCACCTCTGTTCAGAAAGTGCTGTTGCATCCAAGGCCAAAAAAGAGAAAAAGCAAAAACTGTGGACATAGACCTTTCAGGGTTTATGCTCCTATTACAGCATTTACTCCCAAATATCTCAGCAACATACAGACTACAACACAGCTCCGTCAATAGTTGAAGAAAATATCTGACAACACCAGCACTGAAAATAAGTTTTGAATGTTACAGAATTGTCTCATTTGTAGTAATGATGTAGACTATAATGCAACCTATGATTAACAATAATAAACTGAATGTTATAAATATTTATAATTATCTTATAGCTAAACAATCATATTCATCAATATATTAGTATACGTAATATTTTATTTACTTCTGTTACCACATTACTCATAAAAATATGGAGAAAAAATAGAAAAATTTATTAACTACAAACACAGTTGCATTTTATAGATATACATACATGTCAAATAATGAATTATTTACATATATATATATAAAACATTTGGCTCCTAACAGAATCTTTACTTCCTATTTATTACATACTTTCCCTGAGTAAAAACTGATTTTTAGAGAGTACCAGGATATATTTCTATATGTTACAAAAGCTGCTTACCTTGACATTAATGAATAAACTCTGCAGATTGCTCAATAGTCTACAGATGATAACATAAATACTTGCAGGATCAGGGCATAAGTAATTGAAGTGTGATTTGGAGTGGTATGTTTAAAATCAAAATGAACTAGAATAGGATTACTAACCTAAAACATTATTGAATGTTAAGGAAATTCAGATATTGATGTGGATTTACCACTCAGTCTCATGATAAATTCTGCTTCTTTCCAATCTTTTATGTAAGGCTAGTTCTATGTCTTATTACCTGTTTCATAGCAAAGGCTCTGATTTTGCAGTCTTTTCATAATAGTCAATTTTTCTTTTGTTTGGTAGTACATAATGTGCCACTTCTTTAACATGTACTTTTGTCAACAATAAGGTCTATGATCCAAAATGTTATTCTATTCCTATGAATAATTATCCAGCAGTCATATTAGCAAAAATCTATTTCTCCATCTATCAAAATCATTCACCTACCAAAATCTACTGGTACGTTGCCTTGAGAGTTTGGGAGATACTAAGCTATAAAATATTGAGCCAATTTGTTGTTCTGTATTTATTTCACCAAACATTTTACACATAAGTTAACGGGAATCTGATACTGACTCTGCTTATTACAATTTATTTACATTTAAATAAACCAAGAGGTAGACAGAGTAATACTTGCAAAGCCAAGGCTCAAAAACATACTGTTAGCCCATGATTACAGAAACTTTTAAAAGTAAAAACTTTTACAACTTTTTACATATTTTTTTACCTAGGAAGCCTTTAAAACAAAACATAAGATTTTCAAAGTTTCAGAAATCTACATTAAATGGGGACACATGACCTTTATTCAATTATCTGTTAGATTAAAAAAAAGATAGTAAACTTTAAAGAAAAAAGAAGCCAATTATAATCCAAAGTGTAGATAAACAGGTAACACTGAAGGTACATTTTCCTCCATTGATTTGTAGAGAGAGAGACAGAATTTTGATATAATTGATGTGACTTTATCTTTCAAAACTAGTCTTGGCTTATATGCTTTTTTAAAAGTTAGAGTTCTGGAGTTCCAAGAACTGGCCAATCTGCCATAGACAGGATATGAGGCATATATACATGTATCCTATATTTATCTTGCATATCCACTTGTATGTCCAAGATTCTT